TCCGATTTACGGGCTCCCTCCGCAAAACCTAGCACAATAAATTCCAGTTTTTAGTTCTCTTTTGCTGAGGCTTAGTCTCGATTACAAGTGCTTTAAAATATTCAGCTTTTCAACCAAAATCCCTAGCATATTTTACTATCTATATTATCGCGTTGTGAAGGCAGCGATTCCACCTATAGTCACTCCATAGTGCGGGCTGGATGAGTGAGAATTTAATTAAAAGACTGCTCGAATAATGCACAACTTACCCGGGGGGGGGGGGGGACTCCGGGAAAAAAGTACCGGGGATGCTCGTGGGAAATTTTCAAAAAGACCCCCAAAAAGCCATATCGATGCGCGCTTCTCTCCTTTTCCGACACCCTAAGAGATACCAGAAAATGTTGATTTCAAAAATTCGTATTTAACACCCTAAAAGATACCAGATCGCGAATTTTTACCCCTAAGAGATACGACGAGCATCCCGGTACTTTTTTCCCGGAGTCCCCCCTCCGGGACAACTGATCATGACACACTGCTTGAACTTCTAATAACAACAAGACATTTGTCGCCTATCAACTGCAAACAAGGTTTTTTAAAACCGATTTATAAACTATGAAGATGACAGAAACGGACTTAAGGTGACAGTTTTAAAAATATATAAGCGACGAACGTGACAGGTTTTAATGAACTGGTCTCTGATCCTCTAATTTCTTTATGCTTTTTTTCTTCTTTGCGCTTTATGCCGTTAGGTATCCTATTAGAGTCACTTCCTTGATCGTGTTCATTGCCTTAAAAACTCTTCAAATATTTCATGTCAGGGATTGCGTGGGTTTAGATGAAAAGATTCTTTTAAAAATTTAATAAAAAACGATAACCAATCGTTGCAAAAGAAGGTCTGCATGAAAGCTGTCACTTTGGAGATGAGTATTGGATTAATTTCTAAGAGCAAAAAGACTGAAAACCAGCCTTTAAAGGTCCCGAGATACGTATCTTAGGAAAAACATCTTGTAGAATCTCACAGGTTTTTGAAGCATCTAGTATTGCCTTACCACTTTTGGTCGAAGCCGAGAAGATTGTACGTCTACGATTTCGCATATATAATTTACCGACCGAGTCGCTGCGAAGAGTGCCTAAAGGCATAACGCGTGAAGATCCAAACTAAAAGCAGCCATTCAGGATATAGTCATAACATGAATAAAACCTAAATAACACATTGTGCTAATAAAAAAGGACGCAATACGGCTCCGATTTGGTGAAGATATTTTTATTAGAGCTTTTATTAAATATTGTTAAAATATCAAACTAAAAAATGAAATAGGTATCCCGAAATTAGAAAAGTTATGCATCACAGGTGAGTAGAATTCGTCACGTCTCTACTCTCGATTCGAGGGCTTTTCTCCAGTTTTGCGCCCTCCACAAAACCTATAATGCGTTAGTCGATTTGTGAGTTAGTCGTTCCCTAACTTTGATCAGCTCAAAGGTTGTTTCAGGGTAGCGATAATTTTATTTAAGACTTGAATTTATGCAATACTTCAGGGACTTGTATTCATTTAACGATGTTCCCTGAGTTATTTAATCAGCGGTCCGCTTAAATAGTTTCCCTGTTTTCCCTGCAAAACATCGATAAGCCTTTTGCACTTAGTTTTTGTTGAATGTCATACTAAAACAATGATCCATTAAGATATTAAGCCGTTGATTTTCCATAACTGTTTTTAAGTCTTGATTACTCAAAACTCATTCTAGTGAACAAAAGTAAAACAAATAAGAAATAGTTGTCGATTAGCGAGCTTCCTTTTTCCTCCCATCAAACTAGTCAATCAGCTATAGGTCTCACTAACCGGCTACAAACTATAAGTGCAACTCTAATGACTTTTWAAAAAATGTTTTTTCAGTATATCTGTAATTAAACCTGCTTACGACGGCCAGACAACCGACCGATCAATGATAGGTAAGTTTATTTTGTTGTATATTATTTGTAATTTTCTTAACTGGCATGAGGTATAACTTTGTTTGTCCTATAAAGACCCCTTATTTTCCGAACTCCATCTGAGTCGTACTACCACCTTTGCGGGTTACTTTTAAAAGGTTTATGACTGATACTGAATCATTAACTGCCGCTTTTGCATTTTCCAAGTAGCAAGACCAAAGTAGTTGAGTTTAAAGTGCATTTAGTGTGGCGGACCTTTAACGAGGAAGTGAGGATAGGAAGGAGCCATGCCATTTTTAAATTTTTAGATTTTATAAACGGTTAGTTTTCAATCCTTTTTATAACAGGGAGCCAGTGTAAGTTGCGCAATACAGGAGTCGTTGGTTCATGTTTTTTGTACGGTGATGGCTACGGAGTTAAGAATGCCTTAAGTTATGTGTGTGAGTGTGTGTGACCCCAACCTTCACTACTTCAAGACACAAAAGCGATATAACTTTATGCAGACGTTGAAGCGCGTTAGTTTACTGTTGCAGATCAGCCTTTCATCCCGGGGGGAGGGGGCGTGGTTTAATTTTAGTCCTATAACCCTAAACGATTTTTCTTTAATAAAGATAAATGATTTAGAAAAGAAATTTTTGATTTTTGTTAAAAAAGAAAAGCTTTTCTGTGACTTACGATTTCAACCTCTAAAAGATACGACGATCATCCCCACCCTTTCACGAACAAATACTCGCATTTTTAGACCATCCACAACATTCATTACATATTGTATTGTATGCAGTATCTGGCAGCTGGTAAAAGATTGTGTTAACGTGCTTAAAAATCGCTCGCTTTGTTATCAAAAACTCAAACAAAAAATTTTCAAAGTGTTTTTTTTAGCATTTGTAGTTTCTATCTATAAACTGAGATAAAGGTTTCTTTAATATTCTCTTCACATTTCTAAATGCAGAGTGCCAGTAATCAAGTCATGTGAAAATACATAAAGATATCTTCAAAATAGGCTGAATTTACCGTTTTGACATGGAAGTTACGTACCTTATCCAAGGAAAATACGGAACGTTTTGAGAGATGTTGTTTTTTTGTGTGATAATCTTCGTTGAAGACGGTCTTCAACACCGTACCAACTAGTAACCTGCACTAGAGTAGTCCGACATTATCAGTCCTCAAAAAGTGAGGGCTTAGTTTCTTGTGCTATACGGGATTGGTTGAGAAGGTCTTCACCGTTCAATATGGAATTTTATGAGTGCAAATAATTTGCTAGAAAAGCTGGATAAATAGAAAGAGATAAGACTGAGTAAACTGAAAAATACGTAGGCGGGAGATTCTAGCTAGAGTGAGCTGTAAGAGATTGATAAAAGGCTTTTTACGCACTGTCGTTTGTCCAGCCGATAAAATAAGATCATTCATTACGTCCATCTTACTGAGAGTTTTTAATGATGTCATTCCCTCAGCTTGAAGTCCAAGAACTGCAACTGGTTTTGACGTGATCTCGGATCTAACCGTGGAGCGACGGAAAGTACGAAAACAGGACTCTCAGACAAACAGCAGTCACGGATATAGTATGCTATACTGATAAATACGAAAAAGGCAGCCAGTAATGACGGCGGAGAATATTCGGCTTATGATTACGTGCAGGCGAATATCCTGCTCACATGCAGCATATACTGTTTTAACAGATTTTTAGATTTATGAACAGGAAAAGAAATACTCGAAAATTGGTTTAAATAAGAGGTGGGAAATCTGGATTTTTCTTTCGGGACACGCCTCCATGGTTCTTCAGTGTCAGTTTTCTAGCCTACGTACTACGAGCATAATATTGATTCAAAAAATCTTGTGGACTAAAATTAATGCGCATCAAATCGATTCAGTCTTGAAATTCTCATTTTGGTAACATTGAATAAAAGAAATCTCCGTGGAACTTCACGCTTCTTGTTAAAACGATTGTCATATGCTTCGGTTGATCTTTGYTTGCCGTCTGCAAGTTGTTCTTCGACAATCAAAGAACTTGAGACCTTTTTGCAGAAACCTTCGTGTTTATGAATCTTAGCCGTAATATATAATACATGTCAATGCTCTTTCCATGACATCCTGTCTTGTGTTGGCTACTCAAACAACTTACAAAGGTGAACTAGAACGTCTTCCGATATGTTTCAATTTATTGACGCGAGAATAAAGAATCGAAAACGCTTTTTATGACCTGGGAGGTGCTTTCTGCATCAAAGCGCAAATGAAAAATTAGGCTCTGTCCAACGTCATTCCCGCTGCGATAGATAAAAAAAGAGTTCTAATGCTTAGTCCATTTATAACTTCTATTTAAAAATGACACTCCAATGCTTCCGAAAATATTGCACTAGGCAGTTTGGACTTGTCTTTGGCCGGGAACTTCCACTGCCATAAATTAAAGAGATAGTTCAAGCCCCATAATTTACACTGGCGATTTTTGCTGCGGATTTTTGCTGCGATTTTTGTGGCAATTTTCGGAAATATGAAATCTTTTGTCTCATCCTTCAAAAGAGACATTCGTCTAGGAAAATCTTTGTATCCTGAAATAAGCTTTACAAGTAAATTCTTTACCATTATTTATTATGGACAAAATCGCAAAAAATCGCAGCAAAAATCGCAGCAAAAATCGCAGCAAAAATCGCCGCAAAAATCGCTGGTGTAAACGGGGCTTCAGATTGATATTTGGACTAGATTCAGATCGAAAAACGAATGTTGTCCAGCTCTCAGTGTTTTTGCAAAACAATGCTATGATAGCTTACTATTTAACCTTTTATTTACCTTTATTTTCACTTATTTTTCCTATCACAAAACAATTAATACTTTATCATCATTTCCTTTATTAGAATATCTATGTTAGCACCTTCACATTAACTCTATAGATATTAAAAAGTTTGGAGGAGAAAATAACCGAAAATATAAACTAAATAAACTAAAAGTCGTTGGCGGCCGGTTTGAGCGTCTCGAGTTCGACTTCGATCCTTAAAATCGCGATCAACGGTATCAGTATACTCTCAGGCTTCTTTTATTTGAAAACTTCACCTCTATAAATAAATAATTTCATGCCTACACGTGAAGGTTTTGCCCTACTTACCACTCGCTGATCCCATTCACCAGGTTGAAAAATCCTTCGCTAATCCAGCGAGCCGTTAAGTTCGTCACCCCGATATATAATGACTCTCCCACGCAGGGTTTTCACGAAGTTTTGGACTCGAGTTGAAACGGTTTACCTGTCAGTCTTCAATCCCAAAGTTTCTTGGTATCCCTGGATTTTAAAAGAATCCAACGCTAAATTGAACAAAAAAAAAAAAAAAAAAAATGAAAATAGCAGATCCAATCAAAACTGAAAAAGTATACAGCGTCACAGAGCTGTCTTCATTGATCAAAGTGTCATTACCTAAAGATTGTCATATTTTATCCAGAATTGGTCGTGAGTGATCCACTTACTATTTAACACTCGATTTTTTTTAACCCTTTGCCTGATTTTGAATAACATTTAGGCTTCCTTTTGTTTAATGTTCGCTTGGGCCTGTAGACTTGGCTTGCAGGTGCAAACAGACCATGTTATTTTTTTTTTTTCTTTAGCTCGTTCGGTCGTTTTGTTATCGAATTGCAATCGAAATCCGCTTTAATACGGCCTGAAATCAGTAATATTTTGTTTTAATTTTTTTCTCTCTGTGGATGAAGAAAATTTGGGGGGAAAAATCATAGGTAGTCTTGGTTATTTTTACTCCCTAAAAGTCGATCCCGCCGGCATCATGTGAACAGACAATGGAAAAGATGAGTTTCGTTTGCCATTTGTGTGCGACCACCACACGTAAACACAGACCTAAAAAAAATTTACTAAATGACTCAGTACGATTTTTTTCAGACGAGTGAATATTTAATCTATATAGTATATGAAGTATTAACGCAGAGCCTTACAAACCTATTTTATTTTTCTCGTACTAGCCTTTTATCATGTTTTACGAGTTTTCGACTCAGTTTCAGTTTCCCCTGACATATCATTTGACAAATATAATATATATCAGTCCTAACAACTGCGCGCAATCGTGACTTCGCGCACTGTGTTCGACATCGTATTTGCTCGCATGAGATTATTTTCTAGAAAGATTTTTACTCAGAAGAAAGTTTTGATAACTTTTTGATAAACTCTAAAACGTTTTCTAAAATTTACAGCAAAGATTAATATGAATGAATTGCCTTTAATTTCCTACTCTGCGGAAATAATCAACTTGACTTTTCAGCATTATTAGTTTTTAATTCTTTAAGCTCATCTAGCTTACTGGTTTGTTTTTTGTTTTTTTTTTCACGGTAGTTTCACTTGCGCTTTATTAACATCAATTTTAGGCGGGAAAACTAATCGCTAGCTTCTGAAGCCCCTGCCTGCGCCTGCGCCTGCATAGACGTTTACGCTTGCTCGTCACGGCTCCAAGACTGAAGTAAAGAACGTTAACGTTTTAACCATTAAAAGAAATGCCCGTTTTCTCTGAATATTTTTGTGGTATACCACAAGATACTGTATAATACAGACTATATGAAAAAATCAGCCAATGTTAAATCTGAGATATTGAAAATGTATATTTTACAATAGGCACGTTAACCATTTTGCATTCAGACTACGTTTTTTCTTCATAGTTTCATAGTTAATAGCTTCATTATTGATTCTACGTGAAATGAATATTTCTTTGTAAAAATAATTCATATTTAGATATGACGAGATATCAAATTTGAACACGAGAAGATAACTTCCATATCTCCAAGCGGCCATGTATTTTTCTGTTTATTATATAAACCATGGCACTGTATTTTTTTTTCAAGAATTTTATTACATAAAACCGAGAATTTATAAATACAGTCTCTAGTAGTAGGGTGGTTGGTTCATATTCCTCACCGCTTTTCTTTCTGACTGATAGCAAAAATCTGGACAAATACGAGTCGAGTTCTTGATGGGAAATCTCTTCAATCGGTCGAGTCTCCTTCTCAGTTGTGAGAAATGACTGAATGAGCGACAGGTCGTTCTTTGTCTTTTTTTGGTGTTTGCATTTTTCTCCTCCACGACAAAATCTATGAAGTCTTGTAAATCAAATTTGACAAACCTTTCAGCCATGTTTTTGAACTTAATTTTCGATAATTTCAACAAAATTATCGATTCAGTGAGCAATCTTTGGGACCACATACGAGACAAAGCTGCCGAGCGTTGTGATTTTCCCACGTCTGTGAGAGCAATGACGTCACAGAATACTGAAAACTGATTGGTTATAATTTTACATGTGAAAATTATCGTATTTTTACGCGTGTTGAAATACGAAATTTCTCAGTTGTAGAAATCTTTGTAAACGACTATAGTTTCTATAATAAATCACGATATTCTGTAGTCACCGAATCTGATTGACCTGTTCCTTACTAAGTAGATAACTGGCCATAAAATACTCAACGAGCTTTTTCTATGAGGCGCGTGCAACAAGACCATAATATCAACAAGAATTAAAATATTGGGGTATACCAATACTATCAAAATGAGCGATCTTTTAGGAGTAAATGACAGGATTTGTCTGCAGGCAGATGTTTTAATATTTCATCGACCATTCATATTTGCATGAAAATAGGACAATAAAGTAAATTAGAGCGACCTTAATATGTCATTGGTTTTGAAAATATTTGGTTACAACTTGATGTAGATATATATCACCTATGACGTAGACCTTGATTTGCAATTTTTCATTAAAAACAAGCATAAGAAATTAAACAGACGTCATACTGACTTCATTTGTTTTACTTGCTCATTGATTTCAAAGTCGCTTTAGTTTTTATTTTAAACCAAGAATAATTTTTGTAATTTTTGTATTTTGCTTTATTTTTAATTTATTTATACTGACTCGACTCAAAGTTTAGAAATTACAGCTCCGAGATGAAATCATGAGTTCTTGATAGACATGATCATGGTATAAGTACTATATATCCCGGGTATATATGCACTAATGGAGTGCAAACAATATAACCGTGAAACTTTAGTAATACTAAATAGCACAATTCCATGCAAATTCCATTGTTTTCTGTTGTGTAATTAGCACTATGTTGTACTTATATTTAGTGATTAGTGTTTCACGGATTAATTGTTTGCACTCTATCGATCATCAGGAACTATGTGATTGGTTCCTACAGTTTATAGAGTTTGCTTGGCTGGCTGGACTTCATTTTATGAGATTTTCATTTTATTTTATGACATTTTCTACTTAGACGAAACCCCATGCAAGGGATAGCCTTACTAATCAGGTTCCAGCTCATATTTATCAATAAGCGCATCAAACTGTAATTCACTCAGTTTTTGAAATGCATTGCATCTTTTTAAATAAACATGTATGACGATCGTTACATATTTTTTATATTCATTATATAAACATTAGTGTTTTACTGGGAAATACGCCAGTCGTATTTTTCATACGAACTACATCCGGGACCTCAGCGACATATTTTTGTGATGTTTGTGAATGTGTCGATACTGTTAAGAGAGTCGTTCGCTGCGCTCACTCGTAAAATTGTTTTCACCACTCGAAGATAAACTTCATATCTTCGCGCCACCGTTTAATATCCTCTATCTTTCACACCTATTCTCGGCTAAAATATCTTAGGATGGAGCTAGCACGTCTTGTTACGCGCATGTTAGTTATTTTAGAGTCGTTTCAAGTTAATAAGTTCGATACGTGAAGAGTTAAATACCTTGATGAAGTCTTCACTGTATGACAGGCCTCGTTCCTAGCGCGTTCCTAACGAATAACTGATTTGAACTCTAACTGTATGTTTCCATCCACTGTTGTATACAACGAAAATGATTTTAAATTTTCCATCTCGTATATATATATATATATATTACTATGGCAACATCAAACTCGGTATTACGTCTGTGCTACCTTAGTTGTTAAACGCCCTTTGGCTATAGAGTCTGACACTAACTCAAAAGCAGACAAAACCCATATGATAACCTAACAAGCGGGTCAGCACGCCGAGTTTTCAATGTTTCCTAAATTGTCAGTCGTTTTCACTCACTGCCTATGCGGGATATGCCATGTAATATATATTCGGTTTTTGCATCAGTTCARGGAATGAAGTTTGACCAGAGTTAATAGAGTTAATATTAACTCTGGTTTGACCTAGCATCGCATTTGCCGGAAATGTTTTTTAGGTCTCCCTTGATTCGAGAGTTTTTTTCCCAGATTCTCTTGTTTTCTTACCTCCGAAAAACAAAACAAGCTAGCGACCATACTGATTCCGATCAYTGAATAAGCTGTGCCCCGCTGACTTGGATCAGCCCAGTGGTTATTCCAGGGTTTGACATGTGAATTAGCCCTGACTTCCATCAGCCCAGAGGTTGTAGTGTTTTGGGATACGAACAAATATGAAGATGAGTTTTTTTCACATGAGATGAGTGCGTATGATTATCTGCTGATGTTAATGAAGGTGCCATGGACCCATGTCCGGACCCATTCCCTTACTTTGTTTAAAAATTGTTGAATGCGGTTGTTGAATCTGGAGGTATTAGTCCTAAGAACAAATGGTCTGCTTTTCTTCACCTAAATGTTTTTACCCATGTGACGTTTTTAATCATTTCACTATTCAAGCTCAATTATCTTTACGCACGCAACGTGCCGCTATTACAGGGTAACCATCTACGCCTCGTTGTTGTCATTGTGGTTTCGACTGCTATTTTCTTGAAAAGGCAAGTAAAGAAAAAAATTCTCAAAAAAAGCTAGATCGTTGTGACTTAGATCTGTTGTATTGTAAGTATTGCTGTAAGTGTTTTCAGTTTTAGTGCGATGTGTTCAGTATGAGGTTAAACAGACCAATTGACTGTTCGGTGGATAACGTGTGGTCGTTGCTTCGGACGGACTGTTTAGAGGTTATCGCGGCGGGAAAACGGCAGACAAAAACAGGATACGGGACACTGAAAACAAACACGGAATCGGGATACAGAAAGCGCCGAATATTGTGTTACGTAAAAAGCTACAGGAGTGTCAAAGGGAAAAGATAGTTTTCTTTCTCATGATACGGCGCTCTTCTCAGCTACGATGTCGGTTAGTCACCGAGAACCAGACATCAACTAACACATTAAATCATTCATATTCAATTCAGGCCCTCTCATTTCAAATTCAAATCGTCTAGAATTAATCGTCTAGAATATCGAAGATTGAAAGAAAAATATTCTCCGGCGTTAATGAATTATTTTTCTTATCATTCACAATACTTAGACCCCGTCCATTGTCCGGATAGTCAATCTGGAAACAAATTCTTATCCGTGAATTTTTTTTTCAATCCGTTTTAATTTCCCGTCTATACACTACGACGACGTTATCGGTCACTGAAAACAATCCTTTTTTAAAAACCCTTTTAAAGGTGGAAAAATTTTGATAACGTCGCGGCTAGGCATTTTAATGCCGGTGAACGGCGAATAATGAAAACGGAAATTTTTTTGGAGGAAACGCATTGACATTAGAGAGTTTTAGATTGCCTAACAAACGCTATCTACACGAAATACTGAGTTTAGGAATCGAGCCCTATACCCCAGAGGTGGGAGGCAGGATACCATCATCATAAAGTATTTAACAAATGAATCATTTGAATTTAGAACAAGGAACTTCATTTTACTGATGCCGCCTAGGGCCTTCGTCCGTGATCAAGTAAAGCTAATAGAGAGTTTTAGTTTGACTTTTTTCCCTCCCCGCAAACGGCAAACGTGACCACGTTTTCATAGTTTTCCTTTATTTTCCTTTACCTTTTACAAACCTTCTCACCATACGCAAATACTCTTTTGTTTTTCTACTACTTGGACTTTTTTGCGATTCTTTTTCAGTAATTTAAAAGAATTTTTTTACTGGTCAACTGACGTTTCACGTTTGCTGTGAACGTAAATCTAAACATTATACTCTCTAATAGCGTGCGACGTGCCCAAGTAATCGATTTTTGACTTGACTCTGTGGGATAAACTGGTCCACTATTTCACTGGATAAGCAGAGTATTTTTTAACGAATTGCACCAAGTCCCCTAACTCGCATTGCATATGCATTGAAGGGTTTTAAGGCAGTCAAATAAAAATAAGTACGCTTACGCTTTGCTGGTGTTACAAGACTTTGTAGACAGAGCTCAGCAAAGCGTAAGCGGTGCAGCCAGCCGTATATAAGCGTGAATAATCAGTAAGCAGCCGTAAGCGAAAATAGTTATAAGCGTACTTATTTTTATTCAATGCATACGAAATTAAAGGAGAATATTTGTAAAAGATACATCTTTCGGAGACTTCATTTAGAAAAAAATCATTCGACGATTTTTTGAATGCCGTTTTCATCGATATTTTCTATCGCTTTTTTAGCTTCATATCAAGAAATTCATAACGTTATATTAGAAAGAAAGTCACAATTTGATTCATACTCAATAAGGACAGTGTCTATATCCGCACCTATATTCTAGCTACTAAAAATATTGAATCCACTAAATTAAAGTCCCGATTTTGAGGGTTTTAAGTTGAAAATATTCATCGCGTAATATTTGGAAAACGCTCTCATACATTTTTTTCGTATTGCAATATGTTAGGTGCCTTGATGAATACTATCGACTGGTGCAAGTCGATTTGAAAGTTTAGGTCTAGTTTTCGAGAAAATAAGCGGTAAACGATTTCTATGATATCATCATTACGTCATAACGAAAAGGCCGTTTTAAACTAATTTATCATTTTTGAAACCTTTAATCCTTTCCTGACATTGTTTGAAAAGCGCTTGCAGATCGAATTATTCAAGACGAAGTTGTAGCCGTTTCAATGCGGCTAGGTGTGCCAGACCAAAACTACCCACAGGCTCCTTAAGGTCAAAAAAGATAAACAGTTCTTACCCAAACGAGCGCAACCTTATGGTTCGAGTCTTCCTGGCCAGACCGTGTGTTGTGGGCGCATCACTGACTGGCCCAAGATATATCGTCGCTAGCCCGGCATGCCGGGACTTATATTTATTACGTAACAATATTCAAATGAGTACGATACACGGAGTGTGGATAATGATAAACAACTTGAATTTTGTTACCGATTCAAAATGATTGACTTCAATTATACGTCATCGCTGATCAAATGACAACCAACACATTTAAAAAATTGATTGTAAGGTTCTAAAAGGGGTTAACCGTAAGGAAAAACGGTGTATACATTTCATAAACCGTAATCGATGTTTTTCATTTTTATTTTTCCGCGGCATGCACAATCATTCTGTTCAAGCTCCGTAAATGATGTTCCTCTTTACGAAACGACAGATTGCTAGCTAGTCTTGGGTGGGATGTCAATCAATTCTTTCAGTCAATTATCTGGCTCTTTTTCATACGTCAGTAAATTCTCTTAACCAATCATTTGTGCTTAAAGTGCTCTTTCTGAGGTCAGTCTATTCTCTCAGCCAATCATATGACTCCTTTTGACGTCAATCGTCTCAGCCAATTATCTGGTTCTTTTTGATACGTCAATCAATTCTCAATCATTTGGCTCTTTTTGATCGGGTCCACTCTTTTGATCGGGTAAATGGATAATGTTAATACCAAGTGCTTTACCATCTTATTCATTAACAYCTGGTATGAAGAAAACTGCTTTCTCAAGACAAATATCATTCTTTATTCTTTTTTTAAATTTTATGGATAAGTAAAATTTTGGACAATATTCGACCACTCGCGTTTTCGATTAACCGTTACTACAGCGCTCCCAGTCCAACAAAACCTAAAAAAATTCATTTATCTTCTTTTCATGGTATAACATATATGGCATGGATAGGGTAATTCTTCAAGTTTATCAAACCCTGAAACAACCAATGGGCTGATCTAAACCGGGCACAGCTGACTCACAGATATAGAATTGGAATTTAGCTTAGCCTAGGCTAGGTTAGGTTAGGTTTTGGAGGGCAAAAAAAAAAAAAAAAAAAAAAAAAAAACAACGGAGAACCAGGAGAACTCGAAAACTCTTCGCTTAAGATAAGTATACTCTTTTTTTAATTTATGGGTCACTCAAATTTTGAATGATGTTCGACCACTCGTGCTTTCGATGAACCCTACTCAACAAAAACCTAAGCGGAAATTACACTTATTTGCATTGTTTAATATATATGGCATACATATTATATGTATTCCTTCAATTTTTTCAACTTGAAACAACCAATGGGCTATGGGCCGTGTGAACCAGGAACAGCTGACTCACAGATAGAATTGGAATTTAGCTTAGCCTATGCAAGGTTGGGTTAGTTTAGGTTTTGCGGAGGGAGGAAAAACCAAAAGAACCTGGAAAACTCGAAAACTCTCGGAACCAAAGGCTAGGTTTAGGAATCGGGCCCTAGACCAGGATACCACCATCATAAAGTATTTAACAAATGAATCATTTGAAATTAGAAAAAGGGACTTCATTTTACTGACGCCGTCTAGGGCCTTCGTCCGTGATCAAGTAAAGCTAATAGTTACAAAAGGGATCCAAAATAGGCCATTTGCAACAAACAGTCACGTGCCGACATATCACTTTGATATCGAATCAAATTCAGCCAAAGGTCCCCTGGGGAAGGCTCTACTGGATGGCAAACAAACTTTAAAATGCTTCATATCTTGAAATTGAAAGTATCTTATAAGGGAAAAAACAAGGGCCACAAGTTTTTTATCATAGTTTTTGCTATTTAGTGCCACCCTCGTTAAGTAAAGGATTGTATTATTATAAGTATTTTGATAAAGGTTTTGAATATAACATTAGTAATCCAGCAAAAGCTCTTTAAATAAAGGAAGCTCATTTTTTTGCCATCCAGTAACAGTCGTGTGACTGTGA